TGGTAACGAGTCTAGTGCCAGCCGCGATTTCTTGCCAAGTTTGGGTCATTTTGCCTCTGCAATTCGACCGGCTCGTTCTCGACGTCGTGTTTTGCTTCGCGATGCATGGAATTGGGAACGGCGGGGGTGTTTGCAATGGCATTGGTAGGTTGGTTACCTACAGTTATTATACAGATCGCTACATCCCGAAATGCTTTGAACACTCCACACCCGATAAGCTCACCACATGTATTTTTTGCCTGTTCAGTCGTCCGCGATCAAACTTATATAATAGATCGCGAGCTCGTTGGCCTGGAGTGGTAAGGGACTGTCAACAGGATAAACGTGTGTTAGCGACAAGCGTCGGACGTCAGGTGGCTCTGAGACACTGACGTACTGACCCAAAACCAAAGTTTTGAGAACGTTTCTAGAATATTTCCAAGCCCGTGCGCCTGGGAGGAAGGAAGACCAGAGAGCCGCGAAGTTGGAGAGGCAAGCCTTGTAGGAGGCAGAATTTCGGAGACGATCAAGTCAGGGAAGCACCGACATCATGGCTGTTCGTGAGAGGGTCTCAGAGCGGGTGCATCAACATCAAAAAATCATTGGCGCCTGTGGGAGTGCCAGGCGCCTGCTCTTTCTCTTCAAGTTCTTGCAGCTTGCTCGTGTATTTCTGCTTCATATAATAGCACGGAGCCAAAAAAAAATGATCCTATGTACAGTCCGAAATTTTGATTCTCTGAATGCTAGTATTTTTTATTCGGAGGGAACCGTTTTGGGTCAAGCCGGAGTCTCTTGTCGGGTAGCTGGAATCCAAACAAAGGCGCTAACCAGCCTCCCGCTACGACGACCATCTAAAGAGAAGCAAGCATTTCCAGATGAGTATGGCGCGGGCAAAATTAATGGAGCCGACATACGAGCCATTCTAGCCATCTAACTTCAGTGGGAAATTCGGGGTATGCATCTCCGTAGTAGAAGATTTGCATTATGCCTAGGAAGGATTGCAGCATTCCTGGGACGAGCATGTTTCGGAAGAATAAAATCTTCTGGGCAGTCTGTCGTATGGTGGAGCATCAGTCCGGCTCGGAGGGCAATAAAGCAAAACCCACGGTTTCAACAGATGGTAGGGTGGTCTCCTCTATAATCGTTTCCTCCCTGGAAAGCTCTTGATACTGTGGACTACGCCTCTTCGGGTAACGCAAACACCATCTTCCGGACCGATGACTCTGGACACACCATCTTGGCTGATTTGAACTCGCCCCTTGAGTACTACGTGCTGCTCATCGTGGGCCGCATGCCAATGGGGTGGGACCTCGAACTGTTCCCCGTCGCCTGTCGCGTGCACGCGGGCTCGGAGAGGATCCTGAAGAATGGTCATTGTGACCCCTTTTTGGATTGACCAAGAGTCGTCGACAAGAGGATCACCCATGGGAATGAAAGTGGAAGTAGTAGTGCAAGCCGCTTCCTGGAGATCAAGCTCCAATAAAAGGAAATCGACACCGTCTTAGTTTAACAAGTGAGAGACAAGCACCGCCGGAACACCGCTTGGGAAAAGGCAAGAGGTAACAGATCGGCTTATCGGGCACACCCATCAAATCACGTGTGAGACCCCCAAATGCGGAAAGGCAGTGATGAGAGCAATGCCTCTGCGCTCCCGACTATTTGGATGCCACTTGTCGTCCTGCTGCTATTCACGATCAGGATCCATTTCGCCTAGGAACTCGCATATGTGCCGTAGATAAGTCTAAGAAATCCGTGATTTTACTCGGCTGACAATTTCTGCTGACACTGTTACTCAAAGAGGAAGCTACACGTGATGTGCCCAATAAGCCGGGAAAAGGTGACCAGAAGCTAGGCGAGTGGCATATCCCTTCAATGAGGTCCGATCCCCGCGCTGACGGATTTGGCCGAAAAATGGCCTCTATGTCCGTTCGCAACGCTGACATTCGAGACCAAAATTTACCCCCTAGTCGAATCCAAACGGGTGACGGAAGGCGCCGGTCGCACTGTAAGACCCAAATCGGGTTGTTTTCCCCAGTTAGCTAACCTGCTGAATGACTCACATTACCCTGTTCAACGAGGGATTGTCACCCGGCGGTAAGAGAAGTCACCCATACAGCGGGTGAAAATACCAAGCCAAGAACGGGTTGTTAACAGGTGAATGTCACCAATTTTTGGGGGGTTTCAGCATGGTTATTATAACCCGTTTAGAGGGTTCTGTCAACACCCGATTGCTTGGTGACAAATTGGTTATGTTCCCTCGTTTCACGGGTCATTTTCACTCAATTAATAATAGGAATCCACATTTATTATTCATGAATTATTGGTGCTAAATACAATGAATAGGATACGACAAGAGGGCGAGATACCATGAAGGTAGATATCTGTACAAGTCTGTCAGAAGATTGTAGACTTAAGCATAAGAAGGATACGCACTGAGATAGATGCATATTGATGGCGCGAGGACGACGCGCGCTGCATCGCGCAGAAACCGGGTTCTTGACACCTAGGGAACGAGTGAATATAGATATGGGGGAAAACATACCTGGGTTTTGGGTCTGACAGTTCTAAAACGAGAAGAGGAGAGGTCAGTGAAGAGAGGTCAAGCACTAGTCCTGCGAGATGTCGCCACCGAGAACAACCAGGCACTGAGACAGCCAGATCAAAGTCACAGAAGACCGGGTAACAGAGAGTGCAGAGTCACAGAGCCAGTAGCCCCAAGTCTCGACGTCAGATCCAGGAAGAAGAGAGCGGGACAAGGGCAGTAGCTGGGGGATGGTGGGAGGAGAGAGAGAGAGCAACATGCATCAGCATCAATGAATTCCGATAGGCTCATCAATTCGCTCAAGTGCAGCGGAGTTTGAATTGACTTGGGGCAGATTTTCAGTGCATTTCCGCGCAGCAACCTTCGGAGCTGTCTCTTTTTTGCCGTGCCATCTCAAAATTGTATGGAATGAGTGACATGAAGCCAGCAGACATGACCCTGATTTTTCAAAACCATTTCGGGGCCCTCGAGATCAATTAGAAATTGACCCGAAAACCAGGGACTTTTCACCCGATTCCCCGGGTTATTCGAACTAGCAAAACGGCTCGGTCGGGTTAAATAGAACGGGTCAAAAGACCAGGTAAGCGGGTTGTAGATATCACCCGCTTAAAACAGGGAAATCTAACCAGATTTCGATTCACCATGTTTTCACTCGTTTAGCGGGTGAAAGGGGAATTTGACCCGGGACCCTGGGGAAATAAACCCGATCCCGGTCCTACAGTGTCGGACCTGATGTCAGATCCATCCAAGCGGGTATATACCTGTTCAGAGACAAATTAGCTATCAATCCTCGCCGCCATCCTCATTCTCCTCCTGCTTCTCAACATGGTCCACGGGCTTCAGGGGGGCTTCAGGCAACCGCTCTCGATGTTCTTGGATTTCATCAACTTCACGAGATGCGCGACCATCAAATGAAGGGATAGCTAATGAGCACATTTTTTCTTGTAGCATTTTTCATTTTTCTTCGTTTACCACTGTCCCTGTGTCTAAGCTACATGTATAGATCATTATCCGAGTTGTTCCAGTGATATCCTGCCTTTTTGAAACATAATGCGGACGGAAGTTGGCTCGTTGGAGGTCGGATCTCCCATGCGGACTCGAGGGCGTCGCTCGGATGTCCGAGACGTTTCGCTGACGGAACGGGCTAAAAAAGCGGGCTAGCGGATCCCAATGCGTATATACTTGGAGGAGAAAACCATGTACACAACCGGCCGAAATCCGCCGAATCTGATCGGACCTCCAAAGGGATATGCCCCTCAGAAGCTTGGCAAAAGCGCCAAAAAAAGAACGTATCAAAGACCGGGACTAAATTAATTCCGGGCACTGCACGACGGCCGCGCGGTTGTGTAGAGTCGAGGCACACGCGCGATCGCCTATGACCTCCGGCAGATTGCGCTCAGACAATGACGAGTTTCGTTCCCATAGGCCTTAACGGATGCGCGAGAACTCGCCCGACCGGACAATTCGAGAACGAGGAGAAAACGAAGAGCGCCGCTGCGTAATCACGTTCGCCTCATACACTGCTTTCAGCCCTGCAATAGTAATAGCCCAGGCCACCGGGAGGTTTCGCAAGGTGTCGGTACCTGTCTGTACCTACCAGCTATCCCCGGCTAGGCGGCTGGCCACGGTCATCTCGCCGCAACCCTGCGAGGTTCGGCCTTTTTGTTGCTAGGCAACGGTAGCCGGCTCGCTAGAGCCCTGGTGCCGGCTGGCTGCGGATTGCCACGACTCGTCCAGTGCTCTGTGGATACGCCGATCATGCCATCATACATTCCTACGCCGAAAATCCGCCGCCGCCTCCAGTGCGCACTCCAAGCGCACCCTCGATGAGCGGGATCGACGGCGACGGCCTTGCCAACGGCAATGGCCGAGATTAACATTGCCGATCACTCACCGACGTCGCGGGTACGACATTTATCATCACATCCCCGATATACTGTCTCGACCTGGGACCCCCAGCGAGCTCAGCTCGCGCAAGCTCGAGGCGACAAGCTTTTGAGACTCAAGCCGCAACCTTCAAACAAGCTCAGGTTGGCTCGAGACAGGCAATCTGTAAATTCACAATGCTCTCGCGAGTGCCGGAAGGAGCAGTTCGACATACGTCCGGCTATGTGGCTGGTTACGGCATCGGTATCCGACTTAAATGAGGACTGAACTTGGCCCGTGTTCTCTCCTGCTCTCCCATGTTTCCTGGTGCATAATGGACGTCGGAATAGACGCCAACGACCCTCTCGTGCAGTTAAAAAGTATGTGACTGTGATGTTCTGGCATTAGTTTGGCCTGAAGGCCATGGCTTTGGCTTTCAAGAATCAGCGACCGGGCCAAAACCAAAGCCATGGCTTCGGCTGGCTTCAGCCTCAAAGCCAAAAGTCATGGTTTTTGGGGGTGATCTGGATGATATTTGACGTTGCGGCTTACAGTCGATATCTAGTTATACATAGCAGCCTTCCGCTCCAAAAAGGAATTTTGGGAAGCAGAATAGGGACGCGGGGAATTGAACCCGGTCTTGCTGCTTCATTCCAACATGTCTACTGAAAGGAAAGCAGCTGTGCACCCACCATACACTACATCCCTTCCTCTCCTGTAATTTTGACTCAAATAGATAGCAGCTTTCGCTGGGTCCGAGCCCAAAAAATAAATTCGCGAAGTGGAATGGGGATGCGGGGAGTCGAACCCCGCATGGCTGCCGGTTATGCCAAGACCTTCATCCATAAGAGGACAGCTGCACACCATATACCACATCCCTTCTCATACGTCTCTCGAACTCGAATATACCAGGGACCTTGGTGAGTTCAAGAAAAAATGCAACGGACGACGCAATAATGGGGACCCGGGGAGGCGAACCCCATCTTGCCGCTTAAATCCTACAGTGCACGGGCAAGGAAAGCAGTTGTGCACCATACACCACATCCCCTCTCCTCTCCTCAAATTTCAACTTGAATACATGCAAGACTTCAGTGGGTTCGAGCGAGAAAATAATTCCTCGATGAAGAGGCGTAGTGGGGACACGGTGAATCGAACCCCGTCTTGCTGCTGAGCTATTTCAATCTTCCAGTTCATGATAAGAGAGGCAGCCGTGCACCATACACCACACCCCCGCTTTTCCTCAAATTTTCACTCAACTAGGTAGCAGATTTTCGGTGAGCAATTGCGGAAGCTCAAAATAAGAAAATGGGGATGCAAGGAGTCGAAACCCTCCTGCTGCTTAGCTATTCAATCCCCCATAATAAGAGAGGCAGCCGTGCACCACACACTACACCCCCTCTTCTTCTTTAATTTCAGCCCAAATACACAGTAGACCTCAGTAAGTTCGAGCGAAAAGAAAAAGAAAAAAATAGGCACCAAGAACCATTGGGGACAGGGGGAATCGCACCCCTCCTGCTGCTCGGGCATATCAATTGGCATCAAGTACAACAGCTGTGCACCATACACCACATCCCCTGCGTTCCTCTAATTTTGAGTCGAACACATGATAGACTTCAGTGAGCACGAGCAAAGAAAACAAGAGATGGTGAACGGGGGATGGGACGCGGAGAGTCGAGCCCCGGCCTGGCACTTGCTCGATCAAATATTCGGGAATGAAAGCAGCCGTGCATCATACACCACACCCCTTCTCACACCTCTCTTGAGCTCGAATATAAAGGAGCCTTTTTCTGTGTGGGTGGGTTAAAAAATGTGGAAAGGAGAATAATGGAATGCAGGGAGTTGGACCCCGGCTTGCTGCTACCCAAGACAAAGGAAGGCAGCTGTACACCGTATATCACACCCCCTCCCTAATTCCCTCCCTCCCTCCCTCCCTTCCATCCCTTATACAGCAGACTGACTCCGTTGGGTTCATTGAAGCAAAAGAAAAGCAATCACGCAACAGAAAATGGGGACGCGGGGAGTCGAACCCTGTCTTGCTGCTTGCTTATATGATATCAACCACGCTGGAGAAAGCAGCCGTGCACCGTACACTACATCCCTTAAATTTCAACTCGAATAGATATCAGACTGTAGGTCTGCTGGGGGAGAAAAAGATTGGGGGGAAGACAGACGGGGACGCGGGGAATTGAACCCCGTCTTGCTGCCTAATTACTCTCAGAATGCAGTAATTGGGGCAGCTGTGCATCGTACACCACATCCCTTGCTCTCCTATGATTTTAACTCGAATATGTGCAGCCTTTTCGGTGCGAGCCAGGGGAAAAACTGGAATACAGAAGCAGAATGGGGGACACGGGGAATCGAACCCCATCTGGCTACTTGCTCACTTTTCAATCTTAAATAAGGGAGGCAGCGGTGCACCGTACACCACACCCCTTCTCATACCTCGAATTTGAATACCAATATAAAGCTGTGTGGGTGGGTGGGAAAAAACCGTATGAAATAAACTATGAGTGAAGCTGGGAGTCAACTTACCCCTCCTGCTGCTCAGCTCACTTATTATATTGAACCACAAGCGAGGAAAGCAGCTGTACACCGTGCACCACATCCTCTTTCCTCCCGTTAATTTCAACCCAAATATACAACACGCTTCAGTGAGCGGAAAGCAAAAAAAATGGTGGAAAGAATAGGAACGGGGACGCGGGGAATCGAACCCCTCCTGCTGCTGAGCTATTTCAATCTTCCAATTCATGATAAGAGAGGCAGCCGTGCACCATACACCACACCCCCTCCTTTCCTTTAATTCCAGCCCAAATAGATGGTACATAGACTTTGGTTGGTTGGTGTCGAGGTTACAAAAAAGGGTGGGTAGAGACGAATAATGGGGATGCGGGGGATTGAACCCCGGCTTGCTGCTTGATTACAGCATGTCTAACGAAAGGAAGGCGGCCGTGCACCATACTCGTCATCACCCAAAGTAACCGGTAATTGATCGATTGTGACAGATCACGTGGACTAGGTTCAGCCATACCTTACCACCGGATACCTACACCACCGATTCGTTCCAGCATGGGACCCGGGTGGGAGGAGCCGACATCTGATGGTCATGTTTTAGGCTATAGATTTTACAAAAAGTGGCTGGATCGAATCAATGTCAAAGATCCAATGTTGGTCCGACATGGGTATTGCATGTCCTCTCGACAGCCTCTCGCCTGCACCGACCCATTCGGGCCCTTTTTATTATCATTATTATTTATTATTTTGCTTCTTCAATAATCGGACAGAATACTTAGCTGTATTTATAGCGCATTCTGGTACATAGGTACAAGGTAGGTACACGATACGGTGCGAGGATGAATGAAAAGTGCGCTGTAGCGAGGCAACTGGTGGCTGGTAGGCCAAGGGATACGTAGGGGGGCCTTCACGCAGCACCGCTGCGGAGAAGCCCGGGGCGACGCCGCGACGCGCGATGGCAGGAAAACGGGATGTCAGGAAGGCACAATGGTGGTGGGAGGTTTACGCACTGGTCACTGCGGGGGAGAAGTATTGGCGAACTAAAAGTTTGACTTGAGGAGCCCGGGAGACCAATGACTGCGATGGGGTAAAGGATGAATGCGAGTCGGAGTGGTGGGAGGAAGCAAAAGACGACGATCGGAAAAAGTGTGACGTGGCAGCGGAGTTTGAAGCTCTGATGAAGAAACAAGCGAAGTCGCGGACTTGGAGAGAAATTTCAAAAATTGACCTCGACGTAGAGGGATGTTGTCGGCAGCTGCTCAGACAGATGTTGTGGCCAACGTCTATCCGATGTCGGAGTGAAGTTGTCGGCATGATGCCGAATTTCGGCCATATTCGTGATGGAGTGTTGCAGATCCAAGCCAAAAATGGTTTTGTGGGACCGGCATTGAACGGCTGTGAGATAGAGGTTTTTGTTTCAATATCTGTTCTACATCGAAATTGGATGCGAAGTATGCCGCATTCATAGGCATTTTTTATACACCACTTTTTGACAAATCATTATGGGATCGCAAACGGTGGTGTACTGATATTAGCGGCGGACCGCCTAATTTGTTTGGGGAGAATTGCCCCAGTATTGATCCATAGGAACCAGAAAAGATTAGTGACCCATCTTCGAATTATGCCATTTTATCCAGCAGTCAAAAGAAGCCTTGCAAGGAAATTACCAGGAGCCTGAAGGCAAAGTGGGTTACCTTGCAATCGATGGATAGCCATCTCTGGTGGATGCTGGAATGGTTAAGTTTGTGATCATGTCCCATATTCCTGCGGCAAATTGTGCTGTAGCATTATCTGTTATATTCTAGAATTATTTGTTGAATGAGTGAGTCAGATGATAATTGGTCATGTAGAACATCATAGATGTATAGAACGATTATTCTGGAGTGCTCCAGTCAGGTCTTGCACAAAGTTGAGTTGTTCACAGTTCCATTTTTGGGGGGTTTACTGGATAACAGCTTGCGCAAGATCCATGCAGACATGACTTGCCCTGACAAATGTGTTGCTTATGAGCATTGATTCACTTTACTTGAGTTCTAAGTCATGACACATGTGAAGCATATCCTAAGGCATGGTGCTGACCACTGAAAACTACATACCTACTTCCACACCAAACCCTACATCTCAATTTTTGACACAAGTAACGAAAATGAGCGGGCCTTAAACAATTGATCTCCATAAAGTGTGCACATGATTTTTGATACCAAATTCATTCTGGAGGGCAAGAATATAACCAGATGAACATCTCTAGGTAATCGCACTAAGAATATTCAACAAAGTTCCGCTGTAATACGGCAATTACCGGTTACTTTTGGTGATGACGAGTATCAATCTTCCACCAAGTACGGCAGCTGTGTACCATACACCGCGCTCCTTTCCTTTCTATGATTCCAACTCAGATACATGATGTAATTCAGTGAGTACAAGCGAAACGAAAAAGAGGGAAGACTTCATAACAGTAACCCTAGGAGCTCTGATTAATCATTCCCCGTTGAGATGGGAATGATGGATTAAACGGTAGATTGATTAATCAGTGCGCGGGCCGTGGCAACAGAGCTGGGGATTAATCCGGGATTGAACAGGGATATTTGCCATTTGAGGGAAGTAAAAGCAGGCCAAGGCCGGGTCCGAAATCTCGGCCACCACAGAAAGTCAAGAAACAGGGTAAAGGAACATTAACCATTAAGCCACAAGGCCGAAAAAACAGTGCTAAATACATTGACCTAGTCAATGTAATGCCATTGAAATTAAGATGAGTGTAAAAGGTGCCAAATAATGAAGTCCTAGCGGATTTGTTGTGGACGAGGAGAGGAGTTCTAGAAAACGAGATTCACAATTACCCCGTGGGTCGGCAAAGGGATGTGGCTGCTGAGCCCCGCGTCCGCCAGGGCGAAACGCTGTCAACGCCGTCTCAGCGGTCGTCTTAGAGAAAAAACTGATGCAAGAATTATTTCACTCCATTTTCTTATATACAAAGGGTACAGCTGGAACCTCAAAATGACTACAAGCCATAATGAACGAAAGGGACCCAACGCGCAAACGGAACATGCGTCCTCAATTTCTTTACCGCCAAATGAAGGGCCTCGGCAGATTCACTAAGATTGGGGAACACGGGCGGGTTGGATTTCGCCTCCGCATTGCGGAAGAGGTGCCCGTAGAATGTGTCCGCAACTTCGGGCCCATCGGGATCGTGCATTGTC